GAGGGCCGGGGCGGGGGGATGGGCAGAATGGAGGAGGGCCGCGGCAGGGGATACGGCAGAATGGACGATGGTCGTGGCAGGGGGATGGGCAGAATGGACGATGGTTGTGGCAGGGGATACAGCAGAATATATGATGGCTGTGGCAGGGGAATGGGCAGAATGGATGATGGTCATGGGGCCGGGATGGGCAGAATGGATGATAGCTGTGGCAGGGGGCTGGGCAGAATGGATGATGGCCAGGGTAGAATGGACTATGGCCATGGCAGGGGATTGGGCAGAATTGACAGTGTCAGTGGCAGAGGACAAGCAAACAGAGGTATGGGACAGGCAGCCATCCGTGGCAGAGGCATGGCCATGGCAGCAGACAGCTGGGATAAGTTGTCAGATAGGTATGCAAGCAGCCAGGAGGGGTTGTCAGATGAACGTTCAGACAGCCGGGAGAGACTGCCAGATGGGCACTTGGGCAGCAGGGAGAGAGGATTTATAGGAAGGTCAGACAGCCAAGAGAGGGTGTTGTCTAGCCGAGATAGAGAGCTAGCTGGTCGACCAGGCAACAAGGATAGGGGGCAGGCAGCTAGCCGAGAGCAAGGTCCTGTCAGACAGACAGGTAGCCATGAGCGGGAACCAGTCAGGCAGGCAGATAGCCATGAGCGGGGCCCTTTCAGACGGGAAGGAAGCCGGGATGGAGGGCCCATGAGATGGGCAGGAGGTCGGGATGGGGAGCCTATGAGGAGGGCAGGAAGCGGAGATGGGGGACCTGTCAGACAAACAGGTAGTCGGGAACGAGGCCTAGTTAGGCGGGCAGGTAGTTGGGAGAGGGAACCAGGCAGGTCTGAAATGGGTGGTATGGATAAACGCCTGGGTGACAGCTCTGAGAAATTTCCCCCATACCATCGAGAGGAGCCTCTCAGGGGTCCCTGGAGCCATGAAGAAGAGAGAATGCAAGAAGAACTACCATTGGATAGCAGAGATGCCCCTCTAGACTGTGAACTAGTAGATGACTGGGAAAGAGATCGATATTGGAGAGAGCATGACACAGATTTTCGGGATGATTCCTTGGACCCCTATGATAGAGATGACAGGTTCTCACTCCATCATTCAATGCCTCCACTATCACCTCTTCCTCCACTCCCTCCTTTGTCTTCTGATTTTGACAGACGAGACCCTTGGTGGGATGATTGGGAAAGGCCAAGAGAGAGAGAGGTGGATAGAGACCTGGACAGGATTGGAAGATCCATGGATAGTTATGATTGTGATTTAGATAGAGAATGGGACGGAGATTATTTGATGCCTCCAGATGATAGAGAGATACCAAGTCGTGATCTGGATATTCCCCCTCTCCCACCCATGCAGTCCTTTCCACCTTTGGACAGATACCATGAGGACCGGTGGAGGGAGGAGAGGGACAGAGATTTATATGACAGGGACCGTCGAGACAGGGGGGAGTTGAGAATCCGAGAATACCCGGAGAGAGTCGACAGATGGAGGGAGAAGCGAAACTACCCTCCTGAAAGGACTGACTGGGAGAGAGAACGATTGTCAGAGAGGTGGTATGCTGATGAAGAAGAAAGAATGCAACCTTTGGAGGATCAGCTAGATTTACCCATTCCACCACCACGTTCCTCAGACATGTTGGAAGCAGATTCAGCTATGGACACTGACCAATCACTAGGGGGAGTAATGGTCCTTAGTCAAAGACAACATGAAATAATCCTGAAGGCTGCTCAGGAGCTGAAGATGCTTCGGTGAGTTGACTAATTTTGTAATTTTTGGAGAGAAAAACTGCTGATATGTACAAGCTAGTCAATGAAATTGAATTTAAAGCATTTCTGTAGGATCATATGATTTGCTGTATCAAAACTGACAGTTGATGCATCTGTCTTGGCTATTATCTGATGCTTCAAGGAAGAATACTGTCCCTTGACTGTTTGAATTTTAAGCTATGAGGTCCCTTCCAAACCTACTAACTATGAAACCCTTCAAGTGGTACAGTACTGCTTAGAGGACAATAATGTCGTTCCTGATCCTTCATGTGATACATTTAGTATGATTTACACCTGGATGTATATAGATATTCTTGGATATATATGAAGTACACATGTGGAAGACAGGCAACCCCTGCTTAGCGCTCTTAATTAGTTCCAGAAAAACAGAGTGCTAAACAAAGCTGTGCTAAGCAAAACCCATTTACCCATAGAAATGAATGTAAACAGAGATTAATTGGTTACTGCCTGCCCCACTGCCGCCTCTTCCTCACTCCCCTGCCTGCCTGCTGGCACTCTAGCCCCATGTACCAGCCCGGACTTGTGCTCCTGCTGCCCTGCTCTGGGCACCAGCCCCTGCTGGCCCTGGCCATAGGCACCAGTGTGAGCCCTGGGCTAATTGCCTCTGTTGCTGCTGCTTCTCCCCACCCGCTCCAGCCTGGGCACCAGTACTCCTGCCACCCTGCTCTGGGTGTGGACTTCCACTGGCCCCGACACGGGCCCCACACACCAGCACAGGCCCCATACTCCTGCCCCCCACCCTGGGTGCGGGCCCCTGCTGGCCCTGGCCCTGGGCACTGGCTTGGGTCCCACACTCCTCCCCTCTTTTGCAGCTGCTTGTCTGTCCCATGTCGTCCCTGTCCCTGCTGCGCCGCTGTGCGCCCCCCCCCCCCCGGGCCCCATGTGCCAGCCTGGGCCCACACTTCTGCTGTCCTGCCCTGGGCCCTCATGCTTGCCTGCCCACTCACTTACCTTCCACTTGCTGCCGCCACCGCTTCTCCCTGCCCACCTACCTGCAGAAACTCCAGTTCCACCGAGCACTGTAACGAAACTGGCTGAGCACTCAGCGGAATCGAGTATTATTTCTAAATGAGCGCTATAGCGAAACAGCAGTAACTGAAACCACGTTAAGCAGGGGTTGCCTGTAATGTGTTCAGTCTTGGATGCCATAGTTCAAGACACGTATTGATTTATTGGAATCTGGTAGATAGCAAGAAGAATGTTGAGGTATTTTGAAAACATGACACATAAGAAAAGGTTAAAAAAACTGAGTTACTTAGTCTAGAAAAAAGGAAGACTGAGGAGAGACATAACTATCGTCAAATATGGAAAGTATTATTATATGGACAACTGTTGTGATCAGGTAGGTGTTTTCCATGATGGTTAAAGGTAGGCCAAGAAGAGGCCGCAAAGATGATTTAGGTATTTCTGTTGCTGGTTGTTTTTGATAGGCTAGACCAGAGGTGTGCAATTATATGGGCGGGAGGGCCACTTGGAGTTTTGGTGAGCTGTCAAGGGCTGGGTCAGCACTGCCTCCCTGCTCGCAACAGCTCATCAAAACTCCCTTAGTGGCTTTGCCCCAAGTTTGGCCAGGCAGATGGGATGGGGCTGTAGGCAGGCAGAAGGTGGCAACCGGGAGCAGGATGGGTGTGGGGACCAGGGCCGGGGCTGGGATTGGATTCATGGGCTGGTAACAGTATGGGCCCAGGGCAGAGCTCTGATCCTTTCCCCACACGTCCCTAGGACAGGCATGGGTTCTGAGGGCAGAGACATGTGTGGAGTGTATCACAGCCCTGGCCCCATGCTGTCACTGCCCAGTGATCCCAAGAGTCTCCATGGAGACCAGCCCAGGACCCAGGCAGGGCGTGTGGCCAGGTGAATGGGATGAGACTGTGGGCATGCAAAGAGTGGCATCTAGGATTGGGATGGATGGGTGAGGCTGGGGCTAGGATTGGGAGTGCGGGGCTGGGGTGTGGGGCAGAGCCATGATCTGCTTCCTGCATGTCCTTGCCTGTGGAAGCAGCGCCCACTTCAGGGACATGAGGGCACTGGATCGTGGCACTTACCTGAGCCCCAGCTCTACCCTGTCACTGCCCCACAATCCTGATCCCAGCTCTACCTGTCTGCTCCCAGACACTGTTCCCGAGCCACCTGTGGCCCCATCCCATCCACCTCACTACGTTCCTCTGCCCACACAGGCCACAGGCTGATGTCCACGGAGACCACACCCACCCACTCCTTCCGGTGTCTGTAGCAGTGGGTGCAGGATGGATGGGCTGAGAGCCTGGGCAGTAGAGCCAGGTCCAGTGGTGACGGTAAAGACAGGAAGTGACAGCTGGAAGGAGCTGCCACTGCAGCGGCTGCTGGGAAGTGAGTCTGACTGCCGTGCTACCCCAGGCCCACTACATGCCTGGCGGGGGTGGGACCAGCTGCATGCACCACAGCCTGGGCTTCCCTCCCATGCCGGGGCTGACAAACCCATGCAAGCTGAACAGAACTCCTTGGTGGACCAGATCTGGACCGCAGGCCATATTTTGCCTAACCCTGGGGTAAGCAGACATCAGGAATAGTCTAGGCATGAGAATCCTGCCTTAGAGCTGAAAGATGCATTAGATAAGTCACTGAGGTCATTTCCAGCTCTGGATCTCTTGCAATGTGGAGATTTCAAGGATACCATTAACTTAATTACCCTTCTTTAGTCTTCAATATATTTTAATAGAAGCCTCGTATAATGACAACACTGCAAATACCTAAGATGTTGGCAGGATCAGGATTATGAAGATGAGGGCAAGAAATTTAACTCAACGTTGGGAGGAAAGCAGTGAAGGAATTTGAAGGAGAATGACATGGATGAACAGTAAATGAAGATCAATTACTGAGTTTTCAATACATTAGAAGGAACTAGTAAGGAAATTGGGAAGATTAGAGGAAATGGTTGGATAAAGTAGCCTGTGCCTTTTTTTTTTCTTCCTCACCTTGACAAAGAAGGACTAAGGAGAAAATCATATTTTTGAGTTAACAAACAGAAAATGCCATCAGGAATTTATGGATGTGTGAGGAGGAAAAAGGGATTGGGAAATCATACAGAAGCTGTGAGCCTTGCAGAAGGCTGTAGAATTTGGTAAATAATGGTGTAGAAGGAAGAAGCTGTTTGGAGGATGAATATGACAAAATACTTTCATTATTAATTTTGTACTGACAGCAGACATCATGAGCACTCATTGGCATTTGGATATACATGAATGTACAAGTGACAAAGCATTCCATCCCAAAATTTAGATTTTTCAAATGTGGTTATTTTTGGGCTACATACATTTTTTTTTTTTACTTGGACCTAATAGGATTACTTCGTAGCCTAGTGAGTTTCTCCCAACTATTGTTCAGATACAACTTACACCTGATTTTTTTAGCCCTGATTTTTGCACAGGAGAGAGGGTAGAGTGGACCCTTTGCAACTATTTAGTTGGTCTAATAAAAGATATTGCCTCTATCAAGAGTTCTGAATACAGATTTTACAGGGCTCTTTACCCTAGCAAATGCACAGCAAGACCCTCTCTCCTGTGCCATAGAAAACATCTTACCAAGAAAGAAGAAAAAATCAACACCCTGCTTGCCATCAGACACGTTGGAGGTAAACAGACTGCTCCAACTTTTATTTGAGCCTACTTTGTATAAAATGAACTTTTCCACCCAGGAGAACCAAGAACATCTTTCTGTTCTCCTGTGCAATATGAAGTTAACTTTTACATGGGAGAAACGTTACAATCTGTGCATTCTCCTTTGCCTGAAGAAGGGCACGTGAGCCTGAAAGCTTGCAAATAAAGCATTTTTTTTGCAATTATTTAGTTGGTCTAATAAAATATATCGCCTTTACTAAGAGTTCTGAATACTTTTGCCTGTAGACCAACATGGCTAAAACCTGTATTCCTGTAAAATGTGATGTTTCTTCCAGGATAAGTATTTATACTCCGAGTTCGTCCCTGTTAACTTACTCTTTGATCATGTAAATAAATTGAGTTCTCAAGTTTCTTGATGTAAGGCATGTTTTCTAGACCTTGGATAATTTTCTCTGAACCCTCTACAGTTTTTTAACAACATTTTTAAAATGTCAATATGCATCAGTGACTACTAGCTCCTCTCAGCTAAGCTTAGAATTAGACTTAAATAATTGCCCAAACAAATCAGAATTCTTAGGTTTGCATGAGGAACAGTGCTGAATATGCAGTGGTGGTCAAGAATTAGCTACAATACATTGAGGGGCTTAAGAGATAAGAATTGGCACCAGAAGAGGTGTGGGAAAAACTTAGTGAGTTTCAGTCAGGTGTTACAATGTGTGGAGAGCTAAGTACATAAGCTCATCTCTGCCTGGCTGCTTCAGCACCCCAACTACTCACCCCCTCTTCAAGGAGATAAACAAAGATGAGCACTGTAGTAAGTTAGTTTTTGAAAGGGGATGTTGCTCAGTTCACAGAAAGTTATGGAGGAAGTGTTTTGAGTCTAAAAAGATTGAGAACCACTGATTTAAAGGCACAATATTAGCATCAGATAGAGAATTTCTGAACAGGATAAAGAAAAATCCTGGATATAATATGAGGCTTCATAGACAAAAGGAAGAAATGAAAGACTGCACACGAACTAAGCCAAGGAAGAAAATGTGAATATTAACAAGTAAATAAAGAAACTGCGCAGGTTTGTTTGGGGTTTTTTTTTGCCACGTTGAAAACTCAGACAAGGAAAATGCAACCATCAGTACAAGTCATCAGACCAAATCAGATGCACCACTTACCAAACCAACTTTTCACAGAGCAGAAGGAGGAGGAATTACTATGAAGAGTTATACCATGAAACTGAGAATATCAACATGACTGGAAAGATAACATACAAGAGCCATCATCATTTAAGTCTTGGGGTAGCCCTGGCAATGAAAAAGACTAAGGGAATGCCCTGCCCGGCCCAAGTACAGGGGGCAGCACACTTCCCAG